TATGGTTTCTGTTGAATAGTGTTTTAATTTTGATAAATTTGTCAGTGACTGGAAAATTCTGATTTTTGGCTGAGATGTTTGATGTATGTGTAAATTCATTCTGTTAAAATATTAAAATTTTTAGAGTTCAAAATATTTCGGTTATAATTAAAATGCCAAAACTGCTAATGTTATAGCAATTTTATTAATTCGCATTTTAAGTGTTTAAGGCTGAGATTTTTACACATGGCTATTCACATACTGTGGTTTCTTGTATAAAAATTTCAGAATGTGAATCATTCTTTTGGTCAGGTTGTTAATTTATGCTCGTTTTTGCTATAAACTTGCTCGAATTTTATAAAATAGCATACTTTGATTTTGGCGCTGAAAATTTGTGGTTATGCTAAGTTCTGGGAAATGAAATTTTCGTTAAAATTTCAGAGTCTAAATCTTCGGATAACCTGGTCAACTTAGTTTTGGTGATTTAAAACTAGTATTTAATAATATATGCTTTTGCAATAAAAACTGTAAGTTGACTCGTTGTGCATTTGACTTGGTCAATATTTGTTTTGGATTATTTGAACTCTCATGTGTATTTGGTTGAGTCCTAGTGTCGGGTCTAAGTGTTCCAACGTCCACAGGACTTCACGAACAACTTAGTCGAATCAAGTTCGGCTAAGTATAATTGTGATTTCCGTTTAAGTCAAAGTAAATGTTGACTGTAGCATCTGGACTTAATGTAGGTGCTTGAGGAGTTAAGCCTCAATCTACGTCCTTTCTGATTTTGCTATCGTCGATCCAGTATTCAGGTGGGTTTTAATCTAAAATTTGCTATGCCATATGTGTTTATCATAATGTTGACTTGATATGATTTTAGTATGTACGTAAACCATGTAGCCTATCGGCGTGAGCCGATTCGGCCGTCGGTACGGTTGTCCCCGTCGATGTAATACGGTTACCTGCGAGGTAAGTCTCCGTAAGACCTAATGAAAGGCCGTGCCTTGTCGTATGTCACGTACCCCCATGAGTTAGGGTAATGAATCCCCTTTCCTTGGCTAATGAAAGATGTGTACACGTGGGTATTATGTTGTGATATGATTAGGAGACGTGACAGAGTAATTGTTTTATGTTCATACTCTAACCATACCTTCTCTTCATTATTCATGTTGTGATATATATGCAATAGTGGTGAGCACGCTTTTCATCTAGTGCTCATCCCCACCTGCTCTTTACCGATGCAGGTTAAGCAGGAGCTGGGTGACGAGAAGAGGCGAGTGGGTCGGTCATTTTTTTTTTATCTGTTTATCGCTTCCGTATGAATAAGGATTTATGAACCACTATGTTGAGACTTGATTATGATATTTTTCCAGAAACCTATGATTGTTGTTTTGGAAATTTTGTGGAACCCGGATTGTTGGGTATTATGGTTTGATGATATATGCATGTTGAGTATTATGTCTCGTGATGTGTTTCGGTTAATGAAAACCGTTTGTGAAAACCGGGTAATGAATCCCCGTGAGCCCAGATAAGACTTGGGTTATGAAAAATGTTGTTTAACACTCATGGAATTTTCGAAAATGATTTTGAAAATTTTACACTGATTTTTGGAAAGTCCGGAATTTCTTTAAAAATCAAAGTGGGGTGTTACAGTAGTATCTGCAAATTTGAAGATATCTCGAGTTGAAGCAGATATGAAATTCTGATACAATCCTTTATCTAGAAATCCAAGAAAGTCTTTCAAAAAGTTATGGAAATTCAATAACCCTATGGGTTTGTTTTGCAATTTCATGTCGGCCCAAGAAGCAACAATGAGCATAGTCATCAAGGTTCCATATCTGTAACACCCCGCTAGCTTATTAAAATCAGAGTAAAATTTTTGCAAATTGTTACCTGGAAAATACTTATTAGTTTGCGAAATCGTAATTCGTGATTCTACTGAGAAACCTTTCTTTTCTGAAAATCCGTTATCTTTTCTACGTTAAACTCATTAAGAAAAACGGATTATTTCTAGTCAACCAGGCATATAAAATCCGACTGACAAATCGGACAAAAACCTGTAGTTCAACATGCGAGTTCGAAAACCTGACAATGTCAGCGGAAGTTTAAAAGTGGCAAAATAAATATATACATGTCCAAAAGTTCGTAAAAGACATATAAACAAACCCACGACCACCGACGCAGCTCACTCCTCAGGACCGACCCTGTAACCTGAAAACATGATTAAACGTGGGGCGTGAGCACTAAAAGCTACAGTGCTCCGCAGGAACTCATACTAAAGTAAACATTAATAATAATTGCATCATGATCCTGACATATACATAAGTCTCAAATTGTACCGGTACATCATAAACATCACATAACCTCACATCATATAGCATAGCCGTAGCATAGCTGTACCTGTCAGTACGATGTACTAGACACCATGTGCACATTCTAGTGGGCAGATATAACCACTAGAACCCGAGATGGACATTATTGAGTAAACCACCATCCCAAGCGGATACCTCACATAACATATTACATACCTCAAACATGATGGCTGTAATTATAGTCAATGTAATACCCAGTATGAGTTCCCACCTGAACTACTGATATAATTCATAAGTGCTGATAGCCTCGAACTGAACAAACTGTAACATATATAAATAAACAAATACTAAGTACTATGCTCAGACTGACTGAAAATAACTGCTAAGATGCTCGACTCGAACTAAATATTTAACTGGAACAATCTCGGGTTCTAGTTTGACTGACAAGAAACTGAACTGAACTGGTACTATTAAACTGAACTGACTGGACTGAAAATTTAACTGAAAATCTGGACTGAACTCGGACCGGGTAACTAAGTCCTAAACTGCTTAGTTGACCGGTCTGAACCGACCGGTTCACTGGTTGGACGGACCACCGGCTTGCTGTGGCCAGGCGGTCGGCCGCTGGCTGGGCTACCGGCACGGTCGCATGCACGCACCGGGAGTGGCCTGGGCGCTGCTGGCGCTGTCCCGTGCGTGGCTGGCTTTGGTCCGTGCGCTGGCGGGTGCGACTGGCATCGCGCGTGCACTAAGGACGGTTGTCGGCGTGCTGCTGTGCACTGCCGATGGCTACTGGGCTTTGGAACGTGCAATTGGGCGCTGCCGGGCGCAACTGGGCAGTGCCGGGCGCGACTGGCCACTGCCAAGCGTACTGGCTGCGTGATATGGAAGTGGTTATTAACCCAAGAGAGTCCGTGGACGAGACGATGGACGACCTTGATATTTGGCTAGAGAGCATGCTTGAGGAGCCACATGGGGGAGGATCATCGACCTACTTGTAGGCGAGATTGGCCGAGAGGATGTGGTTCGAGGTCAAGAAGGTGCAAGGCTAAGCGAGCTAAGAGGCAACACAATTCGAGAGGTAATTGGTGTAGGTCTTGTGCAAGGAAGCGACGTGCTTGGAGAATGGAGGCTAAGAGAATGGGTGCGCGAGGGGTGGAAGATGCGTGCTGGAGATTGCTATGGGACGACGTGTGAATGGGCGAGGACGAGCGAGCAGCGTGCATCGGGACTTGATGCGCGCAAGTGGTTGGGAGAGCGAGAAGATGCGCACGATTGGGCACGCGAGATGGACACGGGTGGACGAGATGCGCGGCAATTGGAAAACGGGCACGCGGGTCATGGCGAGCACGCGAGTGGCGCGGACGCAGTTGGTGGCCTAGGCCTCGCAGGCCTAGGAATGGCGGGAGTGCACGCACGTGGGTAGGCCAGCGGGAACGTGGGGCGCGCGATAGCGCGTGAGTATGGGCAGACGAGCAAAGCCCAGACCGCATAGGCATAGGACTGGTTGGCGCGTACGCGCGGGAGCCGGATAGCGAGGATGAGGCGCGCGCCACCGGGCGCGACTGGGGTGCACACGCGCGAAGCCTAGTCCGCGCGGGACTAGGCATGGCAAGGGCGGCTAAGGCGTAGAGCGCAAGCGCGCATGAAGCCGCACGCGACTAGGAGAAAGGGGTCCGAGGCAGCGTGCGATAGGCGGCTAGGAGTCTTGGGCGGTGACTTTGGAAGCAAGCAACTTGGAGTTCAAGACTTACTAGTTAATTAGGATTTTAATTACCTATTGCTTTTATTTACTTCTAGCGTTATTAGGATTCTATTAGTAGAAGATGATAGGAGATTTAATTACCTTAAGATTTATATTATTGCTTGGATTAGGAGATCTATTTAGACTAGGCTTAGATTTATTCTTGCACCTAAAAATACCCATGTACTCTCATCATTATGAAGAGGTCGAATGAGTGAATAGAAAAGGAACGTTGTGTTCAAATTGTATGTTTAAGCAAGGCCGTAGTGCGTGTTTATCATACAACCGTGTCTAAGAGAAGGTCCTGAGAGCGTCTTGAAGTCACACCTATCGTGATTAGTCGAAGTCTCTGAGTGCGCGATTATTCACAAAGCATAGAAAAAATCATGATACCTCATCACTACAGCACTGGCGTGTACTGGCACTGCCGGGCGTCATTGTGCATCTTGGGTAGGCAACTGGGCACGTGGCTACGCTGTTCGCGCGTGCTGGGCATTCAAGCGTGCTGCCGGGCACTGGCCGAGGCCTGTTGGGCATGCTGGCGCGCTGTCGGGCGCGCTGGCGTGTGCTGGGACTAGCCAGCGTGTGTGGAGCGCTGCTGTGATGACGGATCGTGGTTCTTGTCTATTTGGTATGAATAATTGCGCACTCAGGGCCTTCGACTAAACACGATAGGTGTGACTAACAGACGCACTCAGGGCTTGCTCTTAGACACGATTTGTATGATAAATACGCTCTACGGCCTTGCTTAAACACACGATAGAACACAATGTTCCCCTTTTCTATTCACTCATCAATTCTGGACATTTATAATGAAGAGGTACATGGATATTTATAAGTGCATAAAGTAAATCTAAGCCTAATCAAACTAGATCTCATAAACCAATAATTAAAAGCAACAAGGAAATAAAATCCTAATTATACTAAAAGTCTAGATACTTGACTTGCACTCCAATATTTACTTGAAGCTCAAGTCATGCACGCCCCAACATTCAGCCTCCTCACACGGACGTCGACTCATGCGCGCGCCAACTTCACGATGCCTATTCCTCGTGGCGCGCGGCTTCACGCGTGCGTTGCTCCCACGCGTCTCCCACCGCCTTCGCTATTCCTACTCCCGCATGGCATGGATCATCCGCGTTAGCACTCCACTCGTGCGCCTGTGCGCGCACTCTGCCACCGCCGCCCAACTTCTGCGCGTGTGTGCCACCTGCACGATTGTCGCGCACGCCACTTGTGTCCGCCCTGCTCGAGCTGTCGTCCCGCGCCCCACGCGTCGCACCCATCGCCCAAGTGCTCCAATCGCCTACTGCGCATCCCCGTGCACACGCTGTACTGCGCGTACTGCTAACCTCCATTGCCGGCTCATCTTCTGCGCACCCGCGTACGCCCGGCGCTGTCCGTGAGCGCCCCTTCCTATCGCGCGCATCAAGGCACGATGCATGCCACTCGCTCGTGCTCTCCTCTCCGTCGCTGATCGACTCCGGTTGCTCGCCCGATGGCCCTAGTTCTAGCCTACCTTGATAATCCTCTATTCGTATGAACGGTCCACTTGATGGTCCCGACTCGTCACATGGGTCCCAACCTTCCACACACCTACCTTCCGTTCCCGTGCAATCTCTCGCACTCTATGTCCATCCGTCCTCCATTCTTTGCTTACCACGCCTTCTAGCCTCCGAACGCCATGCTCGTTTCTTCCTTGTGTCCGTTCAATTTTTGTCGTGTTTTCCTTGTTTATCTTGCATTTAGTTTTCCCCACTCTAGGTTATTTTCTTTGATCCTTGGTCCAATTTGTGTCGTGTCGTGCGTTTTCTTTATTTTGCTCGTTTTTGGTTTTTCTTGTTTGTTTTTCCTATTTTTCTACGTTTTTCTTGTCGGTGGTGGTGTGCAGGTTAGGTAGCTCAATTGGGAAGTGGCCATGCGAGGATTATTGTCTAGACGGATGAGTTGGGGTCGAGTAGAAAAAGACGGAATCCAATTTCGAGTCCGGATGCGTGGATACGAGCCCAGAAATCGCAGCCTTGTCACACAAATCCTTCACCATGGCCCGCGACTGTGTTTCCGCAGCCGTGGTGACCAAAAACCATGTCCAGCACATGTTTTCTTCACCGCGGCCGCGAAGGAGGAAGTCGCGTCCGCGAAGAGCGCGAAGAAAGCAACCCAGAGGACAGAGCCGAATTTTCGCGGCCGCGGAGCCAGGTCGCGGCCACGGACCATTCCTTCACCGCGGCCCGCGAGCTTCTCTGAGGCCGCGGACGTCGCGATTTGCAGAATTTTTATTTGCAGTTTTTTTGAAACGGAGGGCATTATGTTTTGATTCAGGTCTCGAGTTCTTGGTATTTTGACTCAAATAAACTCATACTTTCTCTTGGATTTGATCTTGATATTCGATCTTGGAGAGAAAAACTCCGAGATTCGACTTTTGGATTCGGTTTATTCGTGTTTTCGACATTGGATTCATTAATCGTAAGCTTTCATTTCGTTTTCTTATTGATTGAATGGCTTTGATTATTGTGTTTGTCGATGTTGAATGCATTATGAGTAGCTAAATTCTTTAGCTAGGGTTAGGGGAATATCGTTCCGGTTTGATTTCGTTTATATGCATGATAATTGCTCAATCCTCTCGAGTTGTGCTTAGCCTAGGGTTTTGATGCTTGATCACCATCTTAATCTAATTAATCGATTTTAAAACTGAAAAGGGAGAAATTGTTCGATCTAGGCTCGTTAGGAATAAGCTTGTTCGTAATGGTATTGCTTATGCGTTGATTGCTTCAAGAATTACTTGTTTATGTCTATCCTCTTGTTACGAAGAGTTATTGAGGATAGATCTCTAGATGAGTAGTTTAGCGAGTCATTTAACCGAGCTCTTGATTGCTCGTTAAGTGTATTGAGAACCGGAATTTATTGACCCCGATACCCTAGCCCCTTTATTATTATTTGAGTTTGAGTATTGAGTTGCGAGTTTAGGATTCCTAGTTTTGCTTTTACAATTCGTAGTCGATAAACATACCGTCCAAACTTTGATTTAGAATGTTTAGGATTTTCATTTCTTTTATTCTCCACTTTTGTGTTTGAATAATCGTACAAAATAATCCGGCCAACCTTTCTTGAGAGACGACCCAGTGTTTGAATCTTTAGATTTGACTCCGGTATAAATACTTACAACAAATTGGCGCCGTTGCCGGGCAAGGTTTAGGATTTATTTTGTGTGCCTATTTTTTTTTGTTTTTAGTGTTTCTCTTATTTCTTGTGATTTTTCTTGTTTCAGTGTTTCTCTTTGTTTCTTTTGCTTAGTTTTATAGTTCTTGATTTTCGGTTGTTTAATTTAGTTTTTATTCTCTGTTTATCTGGTGCTCGTGACGGTTTCTTGTCTTTATGTATGCGTACCAGGAGTGGTTTTGTACTATCGCCTATCGACAAACCGTTCAACGAAAGCCTGAGAGAGCTACTGGAAGAGCTTACTCTCGAATCCCACGAAGGAGACGATCATTCCCCGAAATTGTCCAAAGGCAGCAATTTCGACATGGTGAACAACAGCAACTACAAGCTCCTCGTAACACTCTCCGAACCTTAGCCCAACCCGTTATCGAGCCAGTCACTTCGTGCATCCGTTTGCCAGATCCCGCACGGAATTATGAGCTAAAAATGATTCACTACTACCAGCTGCCGGCATTCCATGGGCTCCCGAGCGAAGACCCACTTAACTTCATCCGGGAATTCTACAATGTCCTCAACACCTTCCCTCGGAACGGGCTGAATGAGGATCAGTTGAAGATGAGGTGCTTTCCTGTAACAACCCACTTTGATTTTACAGAAATTCCGGACTTTCTAAAAATTAGTATAAAATTTTCGAGATCATTTTCGAAATTCAATGGGTGTTAAACAATATTTTTCGTAACCCAAGTCTTATCTGGGCCCACGGGGATTCATTACCCGGTTTTCACAAATGTTTTTCATTAACCAAAACATAATACGAGACATAATTCTCAAACATGAACGTTTAAACCAAACCATCATACCCAATCATCAGGGTTCCACAAGTTTTCCAAAAATAAACATTTCATAAGTTTTGGAAAGAGGTTTAAACAAGTCTCAACATAAGGGTCCATAAAAGCCTTATTATTCTACGGAAGCATAAAATGCATAAATAAATGACCGACCCACTCGCCTCTTCTTGTCACCCAGCTCCTGCTTAACCTGCATCGGTGAAGAGTAGGTGGGGATGAGCACAAGATGAAAAGCGTGCTCACCACTATGCACATATATCACAACATAAATAATGAAGAGAAGGTATGGTTAGAGTATGAACATAAAACAATTATTCTGTCACGTCTCCTAATCACATCACAACATAATACCCACGTGTACACATCTTTCATTAGCCAAGGAAAGGGGATTCATTACCCTAACTCATGGGGGTACGTGCCATACGACAATGCGTGACCTTTCATTAGGTCTTACGGAGACTTACCTCGCAAGGTAACAATATTACATCGACGGGGACAACCGTACCGACGGCCGAATCGGCTCACGCCGATAGGCTACATGGTTTACGTACATACTAGAATCATACCAAATCAAGATTATAATAAAACACATACGACATAGCAAATTTTAGATTAAAACCCACCTGGTACAGCAAAGGAATAAGGCACACAATCGGGAGTAGGCATCAAGCACGGCTCGTCAGACACCTACAACAATTATATACTAAGATCAACACCTACTTGACCTTAGAGAACAATCACAAGCATACATTGGTCGAACTTGATTCAACCAAGTAGTTCGTGAAGTTTCGTGGACATTAGAACACTTGGATCCTACACCTAAACTTGACCAAAATGCATATAACCACCACACATAGACTTAGCACGCAAAACAAAGTCAAACAGGTCAAAAGCACACACAAGGGTTCGGGAAAAATATAAAGTAGGCTTGCGTCGGGCCCCGGGCTGCTCGCTGGCACGCTCGGGGTAAGGCTGGGCGCTGTTGGGACGCGCACAGGCGCTGTGATGAAGATCGTGTGTTTCGATTGCCGATAAGCCGCTAACCCGCGCCTTGAATCGCCGATAGTGTTTCTCGCCACAACCGCGCCTATTGAAACGAATAAATTGCAATAGAATTTTGGTGAAAATCTAAAGCAAAGTGGAAGAACAAAAGTTCTGGATTTCTATTAATTCTTGAATGATGATAAATAACATGGGGAAGGGCCTTTATATAGGCACAAGATTTGTCTAAGTCTAATCTACCTAGGAAAATAATAAAGCAATAAAATATTAAGTATCCTAACCACTCTAGATATCATAGAGCATTAAGAAAACTAAATAACGAGGGATCTTGAACTTGTCTTGCACTCCAAGTAACCCAAGCCGCCATTGGCAGCCCTGCCGGGGCGCGCGTGCTGTCCGTGCGCGCTGCTGCCCAGCGCTCGCGCGCAGGCTGCTTGATGCGGACACGGCGAGAAGACTTAAGAACGCAGCGAGTAGCGCATGGCATGCGTGAAGGAGGCTAATTCGCCGTGCCGGCGAGGCGCGATACGCGGACGGACACGCGCGCGATACTGTCGGGGACGAGCGCGGGGTTGAACGCGCAGGCGACGGGGTACACGCGCGAACTTGCCTAGGCGCACGAGGATTAGGCGAGCTGCTGGACGCGTGCGCGGGAATGGAACATGAAGTCCTGGTCCTTGGGCGATTAGGCAACGCGGACGCGGGCAAGGCGGTTTGGGACGCAAGCAAGAAATAAATTAAATAGCTTGAATAATATTTTATTTCCTGGTTTTCTAGTTTGTTTAGGATACTTAATATTTTATTGCTTTATTTGAGTTATAGTTATTAGGATTAGATCTAGTTGATGCCTATATAAAGGCCCTTCCTCTTGTTAATTTATTCATTCAGAAATCAATACAAAAATCCAAACTTTTGTTCAAACTCTTTGCTCTAGTTTTCTTCACGATTTCTATTGCAATTATAATCGTTCCAAAGGCTGCGAGTGTGCGACTTTCTAACACCTATCGAACGATTTAAGGCGCGGGAGAGGCTTGTCGGCAATCGAGACACACGGTCTTCATCATTGGTGCTTTCATTGAGAGGGTCGATCGTGTGTCTTTCCTTTCCCATTCTCTTTTAATTTTTCTTTCTTAATTTTCGTTCGTTCAAAAAAAAAAAAAAATCAAATCAAAATTAGTCCGGGAAGTCGAGAACGTAGACAAGCCAGAAAAGATATGGCTAATCGAGAGTTGAAGGAAAAGGTTGAAGGTTTGGAAGGCCAATTCAAGGCCATAAGCGAGAGCATGGAGGATCGGTTTGGATCGCTCGATGAGGGACAGACCAGCACCAACGCTGCCGTGGCTCACCTCGAGCAGCGCCTGGAGGAGGTGTGCGCGGGTTCCAGCGGCAGCAGCAGCAGGAGCCACCCCGGGTGAACGCACGCGAGCGCCTAAGGCAACAGGAGCA